CTGGCAGCTGCTTCGCCTCATCTCTGTGCCATGCTCCTCGCTCCTGAGGGAGACCCCGACGCTCCTGACATACCTACTCCTCGCACTTACGCTGAGGCAGTGTCAGGGCCTTGGGCCTCTCAGTGGAGAGCTGCCATGGACGCAGAGATGGCCTCCTACAGGTCCACAGGCACTTACGTTGACGAGGTTCCCCCCCCAGGGGCGAACATCGTTGACGGCATGTGGATCTTCAAGGTGAAGCGGCCGCCGGGATCTCCTCCAGTCTTCAAGGCACGCTACGTGGCTAGAGGGTTCAGTCAGCGTGAGGGAGTTGACTTCTTTCAGACCTTCGCGCCCACCCCGAAGATGACCACTCTTCGGGTGTTACTGCACGTAGCAGCGCAGAGAGACTACGAGCTACACTCTCTTGACTTCTCCACTGCCTTCCTCCAGGGCCACCTACACGAGGAGATCTGGCTGCGTCGTCCTCCGGGCTTCACTGGCACTTTCCCGCCTGGGACCCAGTGGAGCCTCAGACGACCGGTCTACGGTCTCCGCCAGGCACCCCGTGAGTGGCACGACACTCTCCGCTCTACTCTCTCAGACCTTGGGTTTGGTTCGTCGCTGTTTGTTCGTCGTGGGCGCACACCTTTCTGCGTTCTGGTCTACGTTGACGACCTGGTTTTTGCCACAGCCGACACAGCTGCACTGGCGGAGGTGAAGTCCGAACTGCAGAAGAGACACACCTGCACTGACCTTGGGGAACTGCGCCGCTACCTTGGCCTGCAGATCTCCAGGGACAGAGCCGCTCGCACCATCACCCTGACTCAGTCACACATGGTGCAGCAGGTCCTTCAGCGGTTCGGGCTTCAGGACTCTTCTCCTGCCCCCACTCCTCTTGCTGTAGACCACAGACTCACTGGGCCTTTTCCTGACGAGCCGTTCGAGCCCAGTGGTCCCTACGCAGAGTTGGTGGGCTGCCTCATGTACCTGATGACGTGCACTCGCCCGGACCTCGCCTTCCCTCTTAGCATCCTGTCTCGCTTTGTTGCGACTGGGAGACACCGTCCTGTTCACTGGGCGGCGGCTAAGAGGGTGGCGAAGTACCTTGGCGCGACATCAGGCATGGGGCTTGTACTTGGAGGGACACAGCCAGTTGTACTCACCGGTCACTGCGACTCCTCCTACGCCGACGACGTTGAGACTCAGAGGTCTACGCAGGGTTACTGTTTCAGCCTGGGTTCTGGAGCTGTTTCGTGGAGGTCTACTCGGTCCTCCTCGGTTGCGACTTCTACCGCAGAGGCCGAGATCTACGCTGGGGCCCTTGCTGCTCAGGAGCTACGCTGGTTGACCTTTCTGCTCACTGACCTTGGTGAGCGGCCGAGCTCTGCACCGACCCTGTTTGCTGACAACAGGGCGATGATTCTCCTGTGTCGTGAGCCTCGACTGGAGAGCAGAGTGAAGCACATCGACGTCAGGTACTGTCAGAATATTATGCTCTAGCCTGTAGTGGGGTGCTCTATAGCGAGTACAACCCTTCTAGGGTTTGCTATTTGTATCCCCATTCTTGCTAGTGTAACCCCTCCTTTGTTCATTTCTTACTTGCCTAGCTAGGTCAACCCTAGCTATGGCTTCTCACTGTCCTTACTATCTTGACATGCTATCAGAGCGGTTACGCTCCTGGCCTGTGGGCCCGCCTGCTTCCGCTGCCTTCCTGTGTGTCGCGCGTCCCGTGGCGCGCGATGTTCGTTTTTTCTTCCCGCCGCGCGCCCGCCGTGGCCCCGAGGCGCGCGGCGGTTTCCTCCCTCGTGCGTCACCCCGGGGACCCGCGCTTCCCCCCCTCCCGTCGACCGCCCCGTCGCCCGTCGAAGCGCCCCCCGTCGCCCGTCGAAGCGCCCCCCGTCGCCCGTCACGGAGCCCGCGGACCCGCGCGTCGCCCCCCGTCGCCCGACGCGGCCCGCGCGACCTGCGCCAGGCCCGCGCGCGGCCCGGGCAGCCTGCCCCAGGGCCGCGCGCCGTCCCCCGCGCCGTCCCCCGCGCTCCTGCCCCGTGCCACCCGTTTTAGGGTTTGGGGGTGGCGAGTGTGGGGGTGGCGGTTATGGGGGTGCAAGAGTGTGCGCCGTCCCCTCCTCCTCCTCCTCCTCCTCCGTCTCCCACTGCTGCAGCTGCCGCTGAGGGGGGTGGGTGTGTGGGGAGCCGAAGGAGTGGTGCTAGGGGGGTGACGTGGGAGTGGAGTTAGGGGTTGCAGCAGGGGGTGTGTGTTGGGGGGTGTGGGACAGTTGGAGGAGGTTGGGTGGAGGCAGCCGTCGTGTCGTCTGCAGCGCCTGTATTCCGGGGTTCTGATAGCCACCGGTAGCTCAGAGAGCCGGTTGCACCTGTCGCCCGTGGGTCCGTTGCTCCTGTCGCTGCTGATCAGACGCAGAGCCTGTTACTCCTGTATTCCGGGGCCCTTGCTCCCGGTAGCCACTAGAGCTGCACCAGAGCCGTCTGTTGCCCGTGTGTCTGCAGCTTCAGTCGTCGCCTCCACTCCTCTCTCCCCTCGCCAGCCCTCCTCCTCCTCACTTGCCCTCTGTGACTACCTCTAGCTTTGCTCATAATTGTGAACTTTAAACTATTGCTTCTTGAACTTGTGCTCAGAATGTGTGGTGACATTGTGATCCACCCTGAGCTTGTACTGCTTTGCTTGCTCTGCTGATTACACCCCACTTTGGCTATGGGGGTGTGTCAGAATATTATGCTCTAGCCTGTAGTGGGGTGCTCTATAGCGAGTACAACCCTTCTAGGGTTTGCTATTTGTATCCCCATTCTTGCTAGTGTAACCCCTCCTTTGTTCATTTCTTACTTGCCTAGCTAGGTCAACCCTAGCTATGGCTTCTCACTGTCCTTACTATCTTGACAGGTACTTCCTCCTTCGAGAGTTGCAGAGACGCGGGCAGGCTCGTCTGGACTTCGTGGCCTCCGAGGCCAACACTGCAGACATCTTCACCAAGGCTCTTCAGCCTTGTGACCACCGCCGGTTCTGTCTGCAGTTGGGCCTCGTTGAGACTGGGTCGAGTAGACTGCAGTAGTGAGTGCTTGTCTCTTGTCTTTGCTTGTACTGCATATATTTGCATATACACTCTTGAACTGGCCTTGTGGCCGCTGTTTGCGCTCAGACTGTGTGGTGACGTTGTGATCCACCCTGAGCTTGTTTTGTCTTTTGTTTGTGACTGGTCTTGTGACCTTAGGTTGCGTTTCTTGTTGCTTGGCATTCCCCACTTAGGCTATGGGGGTGTGTCAAATGTTATAGCCTATTGTGGGTCATGCTATATGGGGTACAAACAGTTAGGGTTAGGCATATGTACCCCAACCCAATCAATGCTACTCATTCCGCTGTATTCTGTTTCTGAGAGGGGTACAAACAGTTAGGGTTAGGCATATGTACCCCAACCCAATCAATCCTACTCATTCCGCTGTATTCTGTTTCTAAGACCCCCTCCCCCCCCTCGTTTCAGTGTGACTCACTGAAGTAAACTGATTTAACAGTGTTACTTGTACAGCAACACGCAAAATGGTCAGTGTGGCAAAATAGGTTATACTGAAATTTCAGTGCACAATTGAAGCATATGCTGAATTTTTAGGGAAAACGAAAATATGCGCTACAAAATAAGCGTAATCAACGTGTTTTACGCTAATATCTGAGGGCCACTCTGCAAGTTCATTCATCGGTAACATCAGGGGGCCTAATAAACCTACTCTGACTCAATTAGGGATACAAAAACAATCTGAAAAAAAACAATTTCCAGCGTCTAGACAGTCTGATTCGGCAGACTAATCATAGTATTTAGGGTACATTCCGCTGTAGAATATGTCCCAATCGATGTGTCTCAATCGATTGGGACGCGTACGGCCAGCATATGCTGCCAGGTGTCGGAATGCCGTGGCGCCCGTCTCTGTCGCCGACTGTATTTATCATAGGTTGGCGTGATTCACGGAACAGTCGCCAGCTAATTGCAACACGCCCCATCAATCGCACGCGGCACCAAATGTCATCCCATGCATAATGTATCTGGACCACATTTTGCGAAACCCAGTTTCCCCCCAAACGCGTTCAGAGCGTTCTCATTGGAGGAAACGAACCACGTAGAATTATTGACAGGGACGCGCACATCCCCGCCAGTGCGCCTTCCCCCCGTTCTCGTGCACCTCCATCACAACTCCTCCGCCTCCCAAACCCTTACAAGGTCAACGTTGTGCTCCTTGTGTGAAGTTGTGCTCTCTCTTCTTCTCCCGCCACAATTCCCTCTAGATCTAGATCTAGAAGCTATCCCACCGCAAGCATGGCTCGTAAGCGTAAGGGGCAGGCTCTTAACGACTGCCCCAAGGACTTAAACGAAATCCCGTACATCCGTTGGATGAACCAGCAAATCGCCAACGGTCATCACCCCAGGGGCTTGTCCGCCCCACCCGTTCTTGACGGCCAGGGGTCTACTGCACCGTCGCCCACGGCTGCACCGTCCCGTGTGCGCCGTCAGCCTACCAGGACGGCGGCAACACACCGGCCCGCCGTGGAGGAAGACGTCGCATATGATGACGACGACGAAGGCGACGACGACGTCGCCTCCGACGACGAGGACGATGAACCTGAGGACCTTGGAATGTCGCCCAGCGACGACGACGATGACGACGACGAGGATGCCCTGGACGACGCCACCGAGGAAGCACAGCCAGTCGCACCGCCGCCGAAACGGAAGACCGCACGCAAGGCTGTGTCCGATAAGGGCAAAGGCAAGGCGGCGCAACCTGCAGCACGCCCAGAGCCGCGTAAGAAACGGGCTGCCGCACCAGTCGAGCGCGGCTTATGGTCTGACAAGGAGAGCACCATCTTCGCAGCGGCGAAGTGGTTTCTCAAGGAGGAGCTCGAGCCTCTCAAGGGGAAGCAGGGTACCCAATACTGGGCCCGGCTGCTCGCACACATCAAGGAGTCGAACCCCGGATGGATCCGGGGTGTCAACGCGCTCCAGAAACAGTGGCGTAACCTCATGATGCTATGGCGGGAGTACAAGCGTGCCGACGAGGGGTCGGGAAACGGTTCCGTGGAGAAACCACCTTGGTTTCCGTACCTGGAGCTGCACAACCAGGACACCGCCGCAGCCGCACCGCATGCCGTGGACGGAGGTGGCGCGAATAACGTCAATCGTCCCAGCCAGGCACGTCAACTCCTTGCTTCACAGGTGAGTCCGGGGTATTATGTTTGGCGTTGTGGTTCTTGTTTTCTCGTACGCGTTGTTTGTAAAGGCTTTTTTAAAATACCACCATGTATGCCACGAACATCGACATCGTGTTTACCACACAAACAAACCTACTACAATCGTCCCGGCTATGTCGCAGCTCCTCCACCAACGACTCCTGCCACACCCAGGCGTGCCCGGGTGCATGAGACGGCCACCATGCAAGCGGCGATGCTCGTCTCCGCCACCATCAAGGACTGCCATGGCGACGCGATGACTCGCATCGAAGGCCTCGTCCGTGAATGGATGGCGCAAGATCTCCGACTTGCCCGTGAGCGTATGACAGAGTCGGCTCCCCCGGATGTGCACCGCACGCCCCAGGATTTCTCTCCACCGCCGCCACGCGGGGAGTCCGCGCCTGCTCCTGAAACCGCACGGACGCGTGAGGACGTGGGCGACGGCAACACCGTCACTCCGGCGGCTGAGGATGTGGAGATATGGGTTCGCGGTGCCGACGATTAGCGTAAGATGACTGAAGCGCTTCCCCCAGTCGTTTCCGCCTTTCCCTAAATGCTTGTTGTGTTGGGGGAACACACGGTTCCCATTTGTGTGTCACAATAGCACCCCGCGTCCACCATGGATCGCGGTTGCGGGGTAGGTTCTCCCATGCCATGTTTCGCCGCCTGACATCCTGCATGTCTTCACACATGTTGTGCAGGATGACACAACACGCAGCACCGGCGAGTATGCGCCACAACCTGCAGTCGTTGCGCTGGCCGAAGATGCGCCATCTCCCTTTGAACGCGCCGATGCATCTCTCCACGGCCATGCGTGTGGCGCTTTGACAGTAGTTGAAAGTTTGAGCCCAGTCGTCCATGAGGTCCTCTCCTCGTGGGGCATGCACGGGTGTTAGGCAGTACTCCCGTAGTGGGTAGGCCGCGTCACCAACGATCTGGTATGGGGCTATGTCCCCGTTGTGTAACCTCTCAAGTAGTGCAGACTCTTTGAAAACCCGCATGTCGTGCGCGCTACCGGGATACCCGATAAGGTAGTCCCATATTCTCCCTCGTGCGTCACATGTGAGCTGGAGTTGTACGGCATATGCGGATTTCCTTGTCCAGTACTCTGTTCTATGCCCCTCCATCCCCTTCATGTGTATATGAGTGCCGTCCACAGCACCCACCACAGCAGGTATACCCTTGACGGCCGCAAACTCCCGCGCCATCTCTGGAAGCTCTTCACGGGTGGGGAATCGCACCCAGGCGGCCTTGAAGACGGAGGGGAACTGCGTGAGAAATACGTCGACCAGCTCGTGGCAGAGAGTTTTGGAGATGCCGAACAGGTACGATATGTCGACGTACGAGATTCCAGAGGCCAGGTACTTGATTGGGATTAGCACTGCAGTGTCCAAGGTGAGAATGGATCGGTGAACTATTGGCTCTAGGTAGTGTTGCAGCCCTGCCTTGATATGCTCCAGTATTGAACGGTTAATCCTGAAGAGATCCTGAAAGTCGTTCTCCCGCATGTGTTGCAGGTCTTCAACCCACAGAGCGTGTCTCCGCTTTCGTATCCTCGCTCTGTGACGGCGGTTCTCGCCGTAATCGTCCCCGCAGGATGAGGACTGCTCTTCCTCGTCCTCGAAGACGCCTGACTCTATGAGGCCTACAAAGCTCTTTGACACATTTTCGTGGAAGATGGTGTAGTAGTAGGTTACCCAGGCGACGAGAAGGCGTAGGATGAATGGGATGGTTCGTGGCTCTGCCATGTTGTGTGGATTCGCCGACTGTAGTTTTTTGTATGTGTGTATCTGGATTATAATAGCTCCTTGTGTGTGCTTCATATTGCCATAGTACCCGCTGTCGCAATTATTGGAAGCGCGGATGTGTTGTGTATCATCCGCGGTCTCCCCGTACGGATTTGTGTTTCCTGCGGTTGACGGGAGGCGGGGGTGTTTGTGCTTTTGGCGGGAAAATGGGCCAGGATGGACGGTGACCAATCAGCAGGGGTCGCAAATACATCGATCGATTGGGACATGCAGATTCGGGAAAATTGGGCGCGACTCGACGAAAAGGGGATTGAGACATATCGATTGAGACACAAATCCACAGCGGAATGTACCCTTAGTCTGATAGCGTCAATCCCTCTAGATGCCCTCCCTCCCTACGCCTAGAAGCGGGCCTTCTTTCTGAGGTTGCTGACCATAATTCATTAACGGGAACCATAGGGCTGACCTACAGCAACATCAAACCAAAAGATTCCGCTGATACATCGATCGATTGGGACATGCAGATTCGGGAAAATTGGGCGCGACTCGACGAAAAGGGGATTGAGACATATCGATTGAGACACAAATCCACAGCGGAATGTACCCTTAGTCTGATAGCGTCAATCCCTCTAGATGCCCTCCCTCCCTACGCCTAGAAGCGGGCCTTCTTTCTGAGGTTGCTGACCATAATTCATTAACGGGAACCATAGGGCTGACCTACAGCAACATCAATCCAAAAGGCTCAACACCGCTTCACACAGCAGAGTCGCAATACATCGATCGATTGGGACATGCAGATTCGGGAAAATTGGGCGCGACTCGACGAAAAGGGGATTGAGACATATCGATTGAGACACAAATCCACAGCGGAATGTACCCTTAGTCTGATAACGTCAATCCCTCTAGATGCCCTCCCTCCCTACGCCTAGAAGCGGGCCTTCTTTCTGAGGTTGCTGACCATAATTCATTAACGGGAACCATAGGGCTGACCTACAGCAACATCAATCCAAAAGTCTCAACACCCCCCCCCCCCCCCCCCCTTCCCTAAACCCATAAGCGGGCCTTCTCGGTAAGGTCGCTGACCTAAACTCAAGCACGTCAACACGTTGACTGATCTACGGTAACAGATATATCAACGCCTCACCCCTTCCCCTAAGCCCAGAAGCGAGCCTTCTTGATGAGGTCGCTGACCTTGACTAGATCCATCTTGGCTGCAATGATAAAGTCATTCTCACTCAAGCCACCTGCAGGGAGGGAGAGGTGAAGACCAACAGAGAGAGACAGAGGAGGAAGGTGATTGTTATCTTGATAAGGTTGCTGACCTTCACTAGATCCATCTTGGCTGCAATGATAAAGTCATTCTCATTCGAGCCACCTGCAAGGAGGGAGAGGTGAAGACCAAGAGGGAGAGAGAGGAGGAAGGTGATTGTTAGATTCATGAGGTCGCTGACCTTCACTAGATCCATCTTGGCTGCAATTATGAAGTCTTTCTCACTCAACCCACCTGCAGGGAGGGAGAAAGGGAGAGAAAGGGAGTGTACACAGGCTTATCTGGTATGAACGCTGACCTTTACTCGATCCATCTTGCCTGCAAAAATTAAGTCTTCCTCACCTCACCCCACCTGCAGGTATGGAGAAAGGTGACAGGGAAGTTTGGAACAGAAAAAAAGCATGTTCTGAACTTGGTGCGAGTAAATGCTGGTAATATGCGGCGTCGGCACGTGTGTGAAACAACGCACCTGCTGGTGCTTGCAACAACTCTCCAACCGCTGAATGTGCAGGTTCATTCGAACAACAAGGCCTGCTCCAAGCCCGTGCCCACCTGCTGTCCCATCCCCCCCACACACTCCTGACCTGCCAGGGTAGTGGACCCATGTTCTCCTGATACCACCCTCCCACTCACTGATTGCAGGAGGAGTGCGCAGGTCCACACGCTCATGTCCGCCTGCTGCCTGCCCGCACACAGTGCTGCGAGTGTGGTGAGAGCCCGAGGGTTGTGACGGTACCAGCCTCCCACTTACCTATGCCTGGAATGCACATGCTAATCCTGACCACATATCCCGGCTGCTGCATGCCCATGTCCGCCTGCTGCACCCCCCGTTCCCACCACTCCCTTTGCTGACGGTGAGATGTGCCCAAGTTCCTCTAGCAACAGTATTTTACACACCAATTGCTGGAGTGTGCAGGTCCACCCTGACAACGTAGCCCTGCTGCACGCTCATGTCCGCCTGCTGCCCTCCTCCGCACTGCTCCTGCTGTGCCTCCACCACGGCCCCCATCCGCCGCATCAGCTCCCCCCCGCTCTCCTCGTCTCTTACGCGCCACTCGCCTCTTAGCCTCAGGCCCGAGGGTTCAGATACTAGCTTCCAGCCAACGACCTGGAGGAGAGGGGTTCAGGTTTCAGGGTTTCGAACATGGGATTGCATTTAAGTGGGCATCAGCAACCCCCATCCACCACATTAGCTCCCTCCCGCTCTCCTCGTCTCTTACGCGCCACTCACCCCTTAGCTGCAGGCCCGAGGGTTCCGATACTAGCTTCACCGCCAACGATCTGAAGAAGAGAAGTTCAGGGTTCAGGGTTTTAGGCGTGGGTTTGCATAAGAATAGCCATTCTCGCCGCATCAGCTCCCCCCTCTCCACCCCCCACTTTCTACTCGCCCCTCACCCGCCACTCGCCCCTTAGTCACAAGCCCGAGGGTTCAGGTACTAGCTTCCACCCAACGACCTGAAGGCGAAGGGTTCAAGGTGTGGGAGCGCCTGAAAATGGGCATTCTTGCCACATCAGCTCCCGCTGCTCTCCTCGTCCCGCCCCACCCGCCACTCGCTCATCAGTCGCAGAGCTGAGAGGCTGGAGAATAGGATAGTAGCTAGATGCTTCCACCCTACGACCTGGCGGAGAGGGTTCAGGGTTTAGAGTGCGCCTCCGAGACAAGTCAGCGTTAGCACAGGCCAAATTCGACCACTTTACTCTCTCTTCCCATATCCTACCCTATCCTCCACCTCCCCCACCCTACCCTTCTCCTCTGCACCCCCTTCACCGCCCTACTTTCCCCTCCCCCCTTCCTCCTCCCCCTTCCCCTTCCCCTGCCCCCCCTCTCCCGTCTTCCTTGCCTTTCCCCTCCCCCGCACCGAACTCACCCGCTTGAGCAGCTCTCGGGCTCCTGGCTCCGCCAACGGCTGCGTGCCAGCTGGCAGCGGCGCGCAATTGCGTGCGGCCAGGCCTGCCACCTCGCTGCAAGAAACGACGAAAAGGGTAGAGAGGAGGAGACCAACAGTGGAGAGAAAAGAGGTGAATGATGGCAACGGGAATAATGCAAGAGGTGCTTCTTTTTTCTTCTTTCTTGTTTCCAAACTCTGGGTTCCCATAGATAGTGACAAAGTGTGGAAAGTATTGGGCAGGGACATTTACCAGTGTCATAGAGATTTCGGGCTTGGGCGCCGTGAAGGTACGGGGGGGGCAGAACGAGTCATCGGATCCGATGAGTGGTGGTTAGAGCTTGAATGGGCTAGCAATAGATAAAAATAAAGAGTCGTACTCTGGTTAATTCGCACCCGCGTAACCGAAGACGTACATTCCGGAAAAACAGGCTAAGAAAATTGATTGACTGAACCTGAAAGCCTGGGCAGAGTACGTACTCACGCACACGAGAGGAGCACGGAAGGCATGGCAACCCACAACTCTCAAAAGCAACCCGCACAACGTGGCCCATTCTAAAGCACGTACGTGATTCCCGACGGCAGCAGAATGCGGTGCTCCGTGTCGGCATTCCCGAGGACCTTATCGCCGAACTGGCTCTCCAGCTCACTCGGCCGCGGGTCGCGCGCTCCGTAGTCCCCGATGTCGAACCGCTCGTCCGAAGCGCGCACGACCAGGGATTTCCGTTCCGACGCTGGTCGGTTTCTTGGGTTTACCGAAGCCACGCGGAGCTGTTGGCGCTTCGACAGGAGGTCTGCTTGCGGCGCGAGAGATCTTTGAAGGCCAACGGGACTAATGGCGACGGCTGATCGCAAGGCTGCCATGATGACGATTGACGAATCGCTATCGACGGTTGATGATCGACGCAGTCAGGCAGGCAACGAAAGCACGGAGCTCGGGAGAAGCTGACTACCGCCGAAGGATAAGGACTGGCGTGCGTGAAGTGGCTATATGGTCAGAGCAGCGATGCATGGGCGCGGGGTTGAGATCGAGAGTTGCAGTGAAAAATGAATCGAAGATCAAATTGCTTCGTGTGAACTGGGGTTGATGGTGAGTTGCGAAAGTTGGTTCCCTCGCGAGCTGAACGACTTGTAACTAATCATGCGACAAAGCCACCTGTTCGTAAGGGGCTTTTTTCCACTACCAACTCCTCAGAATGATTTCAGGGTTGACTTCGCGAAAACTTCTCTTCGCCAAGGATTTGTGGCCTGCGGCTCAGCTTTCGCGCCGAACTGGCCACGTCATCAGAACTTCATCCAAATCATGCCACGAGGGAAATCCATTCCCAAATGTCAGCCACTTGCTACACCTCATCCCCGCCACAAACAAATAGAAGCCTAATCTGCGATTCCCATCAGCCCCTCTTGGTTCTAGAAGATAGGGCGTCTCACAAAGGCAAAAGCATATCTACTGCCTCCTGAAACTTAGCACCGACGTTGTCACTTCTCCACCCCAGTAGCTGTATCCGCGGCGTCACCGGCTGGTATCGTAGCCGACTAATTCGTTCTCTTACTTTTAGAGCTCCTATTCCTGCGCATTCTTATTAGCTGTGCGTCCAACCATGGCAGCCTGCGCGTCGTCCCTCGCGTCCTCTACCGCATTTCAAGGCGTCTCCGTGCCGCGCGCCGTTCCTCTCGCTGGAGAAGGCGGCTTCCCCCGCTCCGTCCTTCGACGCGCAGAGTCTCTCCCCGCGCGGGGGTACCGAGCGGTGCGCGTGCGCGCGTCGTTGCGCGCGGATGTCAGCGAGGGCAGCGGGGCGCAAAATGGCGCGCGCGCGGCTGCGGAGCACCCTCTCCGCGGGAACCTCCTCTCCCGCCGCAGGCTCTTCGCCCTCGCGGGGCCTTTCGCTCTCGCGCTCGCCGGTTTCCCGCGGATCGCCCGCGCGGAGGAAGAAGGTGCTGACGTGGCAGTGCTGGAAGCTCCTGCTGACGTGGCAGTGCTAGATGCCCCTGCTGATGTGGCAGTGCTGGATGCGCCTGCTGACGTCATTGCGGAAGTTGCGCCGGCTGCCGAGCCCGCCACTGTGGAGCCAACGCTGACGTCAGACGCAGCCGTCGCGGCAGAAGCGACAAACGCGAATGCTGCGGTAAGGACAGCGGCGCGTGAGGAATAGACAGGTAGGCGTAGGGATAGAACGAGAGAGGCAGTTGCGCGGGAGGTAGGGCGGGAAATGACACGTGGCACTAGCAATATTTCTACAACTCCACGTCCCACTTCTAGCTTATGCATGTGCATTTTCGCGCCTCGGCATTCAGTCTCCGTGCCCTGACTTCCCCTCTTCTTCGCTGACGCGCTCCGTCATTTCTTCAAACTGAGCAGCCTCAGCCTGATAAAAGACTCGTTCTGAGACGTCTCATAACCTCTTCTTCGCTGTTGCGCTCCGCTCTCGCTTCAGATTGAACCGCCTCAGGCTCAACCTGAGCCTCAGCAGCGGGAGGAGAAGGAGCAGGAGGCGCAGCAGCAGGAGCAGGCGGAGGAGCAGGCGGAGGAGCAGCAGGAGGCGTTCGGTGGCGCGTGGCTGGGCGCGGCGCTGCTGGGTGCGGCGCCAGCTGGCGCGCTGGGATTCGTGCTGCGAGGGGAGCGCGCGCAGCGGGAGGCGGCGGAGGGTGACCTGGCGAAGGTGCGTGCGGACCTTCAGATGGAGCTTTCAGCAAGAAGAAGGAAAGAACAAAAACAAAAGGTCATGCCGCCGTCATTCTCCCCCCATGCCATCGCCATGTCACCACCATGACTCAATGGTTCTTGACCTGGTGAAGGTACGTGTGATGTGGTGTGGTGTGGTGTGGTGTGGTGTGGTGTGGTGTGGTGTGGTGTGGTGTGGTGTGGGTTATCAGACATGGTTCTTGAGCAGACGAACAAATGCCACCATGCGGGTGATCACATGGTTCATCCACCCACCACCATGGCATGGCACTGCGGAGGCGGTGTGGTGGAGGGTGACATGGTGAAGGTACGTGTGGACATGGTCCTTCCTCAGATATTATGACATAGATTTAAGAACACTATTTTCAAACAAATATACAAGACATAAGACACCGTTCCACCATCGCCATCCGCCCATCTAATCCCTGCAGGCGCAGGGAGCGCATGCAGCAGCGGAGGGAACAGTGAGGAGGCGGAAGGGGGTTGTGCTGCATTACCCCATTCCCCATTCGCCTCAATTTTCTCTCCTACTCTCCTCCTCTCACTCTGCTTCCCTCCCCCTTTCGCCCCCTTCCCCCGCTCCCCTTTCCAATACCCCCTTCCCCCTCCTCTCTCCCCTCCGCGTAGGCGCGGGCAGCACTAGCAGCAGCGGAGCGCGCAGTGAAAGAGGCGGAAGGGGTGAAGGCGGACAGCAGCAGCAGCGGCGGCGGCGGCGGCTGCAGCAGCAGAGGCGCGCGTGGGGGAGGCGGAGAGGGCGCGGAGGGAGGTGGAGGGGAGGCTGGGGGAGGAGGCGGAGAGAGCCAAGCGGGCGGAGGAGAAGGGTGAGTGCGCGTGAGGGAGAGGGATTCGTGTGAGAATGAACGACTGGATGCTGTCACAAGGGAAGGGTGAGTGAGTGTGAAGGGCAGCATGCAGACTGGCGAATGCATTGCAGTCAGTCATTGGCTGAATGCAGTCACAACGGGAGGCAGGCGGGCGGAGGGCGCGGAGGGAGGTGGAGGGAAGGTTGGGGGAGGAGGCGGAGAGAGCAAAGCGAGCAGAGGAGAATGGTGGGTGGGTGAGAACCATTGCTAGGGACGGTGAGTGATGGCAATGCGAATGACTGATTGCAGTTGCAAGTTCGGAACGGGAGGGATGAGGATAGAGAGGGCAGACGTACGCGAGTGAGGGGGGAAGGATGACTGAATGGCGGCAGGGGCGGGTGTGGTTGGAGGTATTGAGATTGAGAGGCACTGGAGAGGTCTTGTTGTGAATAATTTTTAGGATTCTTATAAGTGAATTGTGTGCAGCAAGGGATCGGCGGTTTCTTGTTGCAACGGGAGGTACGAGGGCGACGAGGTCGTAGAGGGAGGTGACGGGGAGGGTGGGGAGGAGGCGGAGAGAGCAAAGCGAGCAGAGAAGGGTAATTGAATGTGAGGGAGTAGGATGAGAGAGTTATGGCGATGAGAAATTGCCGAATGCAGTCGTCCCCCTCTTCCACCGGCTCCCCCACTCCCCTTGACAGCTGGTCAGCTGTCCACGGCTCTGGCTCTCCCAGCCGCAGCAGCAGCTCGCACCAGCACAGGCCGAGCCGAGGCAGAGCCAGCAGCAGGAGTGGCATGCATGATACGGTGCTTCATTGAACCCAAATTCTTCTCCCCTTTCCCCGTCCCCTTCATGCCACTCCCCCACTCCCCACCCTCCCTTATTTCCCCTCCCCTCCTATCCCCCCGCTTCCCCACTCTCCCCCCCTTTCCCCCGTTCCCCATGCCAGCCGGTCAGCTATCCACGCAGCTCTCCCAGCGGCAGCAGCAGCTCGCAGCAGCACAGGCCGAGGCAGAGGCAGCAGCAGGAGCCGTCTCAGCCGCCCAGAAGGCAGCTGCAGGCCTTGCTGCCGACCTGGAAGCTTCCATGAAGGAGCGCGAGGCGCTGCAGCAGGAGCTGGTAACCGGGCGGGTGAAGCTGCAGCAGAAGATCGGCGAGGCGGTTACCGCAAAGGGTGACGTGGCACGGTTACAAGGGAGGGTGAAGGAGTTGGAGCAGCGTGTGAAGGATGCGGTTGCTGAGCTGGATGCCAAGTCAGCGCAGCTGAAGGAGAGTGCTGACGTGGAGGCCCGGCTGCGTGCTGAGCTGGCGGACGCTCAGGGTGCGGTGGCTAAGGTTGAGGATGACGTGGCAACCCTGCAGGCTGAGCTGGCAGAAGAGAAGAGCACGGTGCAAAAAAAGGAGGAGGAAATCCAATCCCTGCATGCTGACGTGGAATCCACCAATGCCAGCCTGGCAGCCGCCCACGAGTCCCTCGAATTGCTCCGAAACGATCTGGCCTCTGCTCGGGAGGAAGCTTCCCAGAAGCAGCAGACTCTCACCAGACTGGAACTCGATGCCGAGACCCTCAAAGGAACCGTCCGGGCAGCTGAACGGGCAGCCGAAGAAGCCCGCAGCCAGCTGGGAACCGCCCAGAAATCCCTCGCGGATCTCCAGCAGCTAGCGGACGAAGCGGAGGCCGGAAAGCGGGCAGCGGAGGACGCGTTGGAGCGGGAGCAGCGGGCTGCAAGCGCGGCCGTGCAGGAGCTACAGATGCATTTGGCAGCATTAGGGCGCGAGAGGGAGGTGGTGGGGCAGTTGAAGAAGGGCGTGGAGGAGGCGGGCAGGGTGGTGGATGCGCTTCAGGGGGAGACTGATGCGCTCAGGGCGGAACTGGGGGAGGTGCAGAGGCGGGAGAGGGAGGGGGAGGAGGCTCGGAGGGGATTGGAGGTGCGTGCGGGGTGATGGAGGGTGTGAATGGGGTGTGGGGGTGGGGGGTTCATGGGGTGGGGTGGGGTGGGGCGGGGTGTGGGGGGGAGGGTTTCTGGGTGGTATGTCTTTGTGTGCGGCGATGGGCACACCACCTGCACATCCTCTTTTCCTCCACCCTTTCTTCACTTCCCGACAATCCCCCTTCCTCTCCCTCTCCTTCAACACGCCTTCCTTCCGCAACCCCTCCCCTCCCCCTTCTCCGCCACAAAACTTCTCTCTTTCCCTCCTTTTATCTCCGCCACAAGGCGTTGAGGAGGCGGGCAGGGTGGTGGACGCCTTCCTTCCGCATCCCTCCTTTTATCTCCTTGTTTCCAGACAGCATTTCTGCTTCTCTTATGCACTCTTTTCCTCCTACTCTTCTTTCCCTGCTTCTACAACCTTTCCGCTTTTCGCTTTACATCCATCCCACCTCCCCTCTACCAATCCCCCATCTCCGTCACCCCCGATCCTCGTTTCTGATCTCCCTTCACATCCTTCCGTCCATCCTTCCGACCAACTCTCCAGTCCCAACCAACATATTTCCTTTATCTCAGCTGAGCTAGCACCCACCCTCCTTCCCTTCGCTGTATATCCATCCATCCCTATCCCGTCACACCATCCCTCCATCCCTATCCCGTCACACCATCCCTCCATCCCTCTTTCCCTTCACGCGTTCTACCTCTCTCCCTTCGCATCATTCTCTCCATCCCTCTATTTCTCCCCCCATCCCTCCCCCCATTCTCCCCCCATCCCTCCCCCCATCACTCCCTCCTTCCATCCCTCCAGTCCCAGCTGGCATCGCTCTCCGCTGAGCTGGCGGCCGCGCGGGACGAGGCCGCCAGGCTGGCGGCGGAGAAGGAGGCTGCTGATGTCAGCCGGGCGTCAGCAGAGCAGAAGGCGCAGGAGGTGCAGCAGCAGCTGGACAGCACGTTTGATGAGGTCTCACGGCTGAAAGGACAGGTGTGGTGTTTGGGTCTGCTTGGGTTTTATGGGAAGGTATGGGTGGACGGAAAGTAAAGTGCATGCAGCAGCAGCTGGACAGCACGTTTGATGAGGTTTCGATGCTCAAGGGGCAGGTATGTCGGATGGATATGTGTGGGGTTCAACGGGATGGTATGGATGGGTGGCTGGCTGTTTGACTGGGCTAAGAGAGGAGTGCAGCAGCAGCTGGACACGTTTGATGAGTCCCAAAGCTCAAGGCACAGGTATGACGGTTGGATATGTGTGGGGTTCAATTTGACGTATGGATGAATGGCTGGCTGTGTGACTGGGCTAAGAGGGGAGTGCAGGGAGTGCAGCAGCAGCTGGACACGTTTGATGAAGTCTCAAGGCTCAAGGGACAGGTGTGCTGTTTGGGTTTGCTTGAGTTCAATGGGATGGTACGGATGTGGACTGCAAGGGAGCTGCGTGCAGCAGCAGCAGCTGGACAGCAAGTGTGATGATGAGGTATCAAGGCTGAATGAACAGGTGTGCTGCCTGCCTGGGTATGCTTTTGCTTGAGTTCAATGGGATGGTATGGATATGGACTGCAATGCAAGGGAGCTGCGTGCAGCAGCAGCTGACAGCACGAGGGACAAGGTTTCAGGGATTAAGGAAAGCGTTCGCAGCCTGGGGTTTTGCTTGGGAGGTAAAACGGTTTTTAACATAGTGGGATATTGCAACGGGTGAGAGAGAGAGGGCATGAGGCATCGGAAGTGAAAGGCACAGGGGCATGGCAGGTGAAAGGAGGGGGGGGACTTGTTGACTTGAGAGCTTCAAACAGGAGAGGATGGCATTTGGTTGAAACACATGTGAAGCACAAGGGAGAGGATGCGATGCAGGATATTGAAACAGATGTCTTTCCTTCCACCCGTCTCCCCCGTGCTTCCCATATTCTCCTGCTCCCCGATTTTCCCTGCTTCCCTTGTTCCCGTGCTTTGCTGTTCTCCCCACTCCCCCACGCCAGGTGACACAGATGACCCGTGAGCTAGAGGCCAGTGATGCTGGAAGTGCGGGCAGAGGCAGCCATGCTGGTGGAGGCTCATTCCCCTGCTTCACTGCTCCCCTTGTTCCATGTGGCCCCCATTCCAGGTGACTCAGATGACCCGTGAGCTAAAGGCCGGGAAGAAGAAGTTTGAGGCGATGCTGGAGGTGCGGGCAGAGGCAGCCATGCTGGTGGAGGCTCATGCCCCTGCTTCCCTGCTCCCCTTGCTCCCTTGTGCCCCCTGCTCCCCTTGCTCCCTTGGCTCCCGCTGCAGGTGACACAAACGACCCGCGAATTGGAGGCAGGGGAGAAGAAGTTTGAGGCGATGCTGGAGGTGAGGGCGGAGGCAGCCATGCTGGTGGAGGCTCATGGTGCTCTCCCCTCCCCCTGTTTCACTGCTCCCCTTGTTCTCCTGCTCCCTGTGCCCCTTCCCGTCCCTGCCCCAGGTGACACAGATGACCCGTGAGTTGGAAGCTGGGGAGAAGAAGTTTGAAGCGATGCTGGAGGTGAGGGCGGAGGCAGCCATGCTGGTGGAGGCCTTGGAGGACCAAGCGTACGCAGAGGCCAAGGAGAACAAGAAGCTCAAGAAGCGGGTGAGTGTAGGCTGTCAATAGTCAATGCAGGGCGCACCTTGGGTAGTCATGCTAAAAAAAGAACAAGAAGCAGACGTACGCTGAGGCCAAGGAGAACAAGAAGCTCAAAAAGTGAGTGTGTGGTGATATGGTATGCCCTAATGTGTAAATGTGTGGGTGGAGTTGCGTTCCTAAGTAGGGACACCATACGAAGTTTTGACACCTTGATGTATGATGCTTCATGCTTGTACTATTTTTCTAATCCTGACTCGCTCCCTGTCGCAATCTCCCTGTCGCCTGTCAGAATGCTGAGCTGGAGGAGTCAAGCAAGGCGGCAGCAGCAGTGGCGGAGGAGCTGGAGACGGTGCGGGCTCAGCTGAACGCTGTACAGCAGGGCCGCATGGTGGGGTCTAAGAGCGAACAGGGGGATGCGCAGGCTTGAGTGGCAAGTGGGATACGGTATTAGGTTCTTGATACATTAGTCAACAGTCCTCATACGGTATGTAGGATAGATTGGGGAGACACGCTCGCAATACAGTGTTTTATCTGACGTAACAAGTTAGCGTACGGCTTTTGGGCAAGCCTCTGTTGCACTTGTCCCTCAATCTATTCTTGCATGTGAACATTGGACTTGCAAAAATTGGAAATACAAAATGCTTCTTAAAATATTAGGCTTCTTTCATTTGGAGGACGAAATACACTATCACGTCACATGCATCATGTCCACCCACTGCTATACATATTATTATTATTATTCAGCTTTTTCCATCTTTCCACCACAGTGACGCGTGACGAGACGATTGCTATCGGGGACACTGATAGCCGCCTCGTTCACGTTTGTGAAGGGGGATTTTCGCCGCCTTGTTTTCAAGAGGCTCTCTTCTGGTTCATTCATGTGCTTCTGGTCTGGACGCCCGTGCGAGTAGTACAAGGCTTCTGGAACTCAGTGGAAAACGCGAACGCTGTAGGAGACTGTTGCGATTGACAGCAGTTTGTAGAGAGAGTTAGCGACAGAATGGCTTTGACTGGAATTAAGGCTGTGAAGAATCCTGTCCGTGTTGTGCTGCAACGGATTGCACAGTTGATGTTCATCGTGATTGGAGTGAGCATCTGACTTTCCTCTACCCCGTAGCCGAATTCGACCTTGCTGAGTAATGTTATGACAACGCTTTACAGATTTCAGGAATACTTATGATCGCAATGATCCTCGCGTTCCAACAAAAGCCGAACTTCGCTCCTGGATGGTATGAATTTTTAACTTGGAAAATGGATATACCTCGTTCGGCAGAATGACAAACTTTTCATTTTACAGGTGCATTATCGTCCTTGGTATCTTGACTGTTGGAGCTTCTGTTTTGGGATTCGCGGGCTTCCTTAACTCTGGTTGCTTCATTTGCCACTCAGCGATTCAGTCTTTGGCAGCAGTCGGCTGTGGTGCATTCACCCTGGCATTGTTTATTTCTGTAAGTTCGACACAGCGACCATTTTTGCAGCCAGGAAGCATAATCTGTACTTTTTTTGCAGAAGCCGGCCATTGCAAGGACCATCAACTCACGTCAATGGAACGACGACAAGGTAAACTTCTTCGATGCAGTGAAATTTTGGCCAACTCCTCAACGCCCTTGACGTTCTCAGGTTTGGACTTTCTTAAGCAAGATCCAGTGGGTCTTCTTATCGGTCTTTATTTTGGAGGTGAGGTCCCTTGTCGTTGTACTGCGTACATCTTCATTAGGTTACACATACTATGCGGCGTCCCAAATGTTGACATGTTGATGACATTCTTTGATAATTATGTGCGCAGGTGTTGGCTCTCGTGGTCTCGGCAGTTACGCACGCATGCATTCCCGTTGAAATTTATGAGGTAGGAACTAGGCATGAGTAGGTAATGTTGTACCATGCCCTCTCTGGACTGGCCAGTTTCACCCGACCTGCTTGTACAGAGCCTTGAGGAGCAACAGCGACAACGTGACGCGGAAATGCATAAGTTGAAGGCGACAGTGTAAGCATCTCTCATTTCTACCAAGAAACTATGGGTGATAAGCTTCTGCACTGTCTAACCCATCTACACATTCCAGAGAGCAGCAGAAAACACGAACGGAGAACAAGACTGCAGCTTCTCTTGCAAACAAGATGCGGTCAAAATATGGAAAGTGAGTACCACCACCAAAATGTTAATTTTTCTGCACTATGCATGTGTTGCTGAGCATTTAGGCCGATTGCAGGTGGACAGATGAAGACTTTGGTGAAGGCAGATCCATTTGGTAGTGGTTCAAAGCCACATCACAGACTGCGATGCGGTGCCATCAAGCTTTGCAATTCGTATGGAACCTGCAAACAGGATTTGTTGGTAATTGCTACTGTTGCATGCAAGCAATTTAGTACAACACAAACTGTTTTAGAAACTGAACCTACAAGCTACCATTTCAAACTCATGGTTCTGTGGAAAAGCAAATCAAGTTTGTCTTTCACCTAGATCTTCCCAAAATGTAATCTGCCAGCTATTATTTTGATGCATGAGGTGCCAGTAGCTTCCATGCTACTGACATGAGGGACCTCTTCTGGGTCCTCTTCGGCAATGCTGATGAATCTTGGTCTGGTGGCAGAGCTGACTCTGATATGGGTAAGGGGACTACAGTAGCCAGAGAGCGAATACTCTCATGACCAAGTGGGCTTTGCCGATAGAGGTTGGATGCTGCATTGAGGGGATTTGATGGAGCTGCTGAGCTGCATGCCTCCAGCAGCTGTGTTGTGCTATCAGCCATGCTGTGAGCTGTGCGGTTGGCTTCCTCCAGTGCACTCCTTATGTGAGGGTCACGGTCGAAGTTGAACCGGAGCATCAGTGATGAAAGCAGGGAGTGGATGCTTGAGGCATAAGCTTGATGCTGTTGTGTTGGGAATGGGACGAATAGTAATGATGAGAGTTGAGACACGTTTGGCCAGGAACTGCATTCAGGGCCATCATTTGACAGGTAGTGAAAGTTAAGCAAGCAATCACCTGAACAGCTTCGAGCCTTCGTTGTGATTGTATCTTCGCAAGTTTTTCCAATAGGGACGCCTTCTCGAGTGCCTCCTGGGAAAATCAAACAGATCATGGGTCATGTTCCAGCGTTCATCTAAAAAAAGTCAGACGACGAAGCAAATTATGGGACACGATATATCAGGCCTTGAAAATGAATTCAGACAAACACCTCACTGTTATTGGCCTACCCGATGTAGCTGCTGCTGCATGAGATGCACGGTCGACTGAAGCGTCTTCACCGACCCCTGCAAAGGATAACGAGTAGAAGGGAGGCGAACGGTTAAGTGGCACACAAACGTACACGCAACACCAAGCAAGGCACTGAAACATCGAAACCACGACAGGATTTTCCACGGGAACCCATCACGGGACGGACAATCGACCACTCACCAGCGCGTGCGATAGCAGCATGGTATCCAGGCTCGTGTGCTGCAGCGCCTCGCGGAACTGCTCCTGCTCCCGCACCGCGTCCGCCATCTCCAGCACCATGCGCTCCACCGCGCTCGCCAGCTGCCCGCGCTCCGCCTCCACCTTCGCCAGCCGCAGCTTCGTCTGCTCCAGCTCCTTCGCCAATTCCGGTTCCGCGGATTCCCCCCCCGCCTGCACCGCGCCCGCGCTGAGCCTGCGCACTCCCGCCAGCTCGCTCCGCGCCTGCTGGAGGGCCTCGTGCAAGCGCTCTACCTCCTCGCTCAGGCGCTCGCACTCCTTCTCCCACGCTTCCGCCTGCGCCTTATCCTTCCGCCACTCCCGCTCCTTCTCCGCCTTCCGTTTCTGCTCCTGTTCTCGTTCCTGCTCCCTTCGCCGCTCCACCTCGCGTCGCAGCTCCCTCCCCCTCTCCTCCTCCCGCTCCTTCTCCCGTTCCCGCTGCTCAGCCCGTTCCATCTCCCTCGCCCGCTCCCTCTCCTTCCTCTCCGCCCGATCGCTCTCCCGTTTCGCAGAGTTGGCTCTTTCTAGCAGCCGTCGCCTTTCCCCGCTCTCCGTCGGTTTCCCATGCGACCATTCCCTCCGCGCCTCCGCGTGAAGGGGACTCTGCTCCCGCCGACCGATCTCAACCGCGCGCTTTTCCTCTATGCATCGCTTCTCCCCAGCAACAACCGTCCCCGCCTTCCCCATCTCCCGCGCTAGCTGCCTCTTGCGCTCCTCCCGCAAAAAGTCCCGCTTCGCCTCCCACTCCCGCGCCTTTGCACGGTCATCCTCCCCCCGTTCCCGCCGCAAAGCGTCCGCCCCTTCCATTACCTCCCCGCTCCGCAATTCTCTGCGGTATTCCATCTCCCACTTGCTCTCTCTCTCCTTCTCTAGAGCGAGCGCTATCAGCGCGCTTGCGCCGCCCTCCCACTCCGCCGGTTCCCCATCCGCGATCTCTGCGCGACGGGGGCCGCGCTCCGCCGACTGCGGACGGCCTTCCGAGGAGCGCCGGAACGACCCCTCTCCGCTACTCGCGCGCTGGACACGCTCCGCGGAGCGCGGGCGGCTCCGCCGCGGTAACGCTCGCTCCACGCTCGCCCCGCTTTTGCTGGCTCGGTCTGCCGTAGCGAGCGACTCGCCTAGCTTGCTGATCGCAGTCGCTGAGTCGCGCGGAGGCGACGGCGGCGAATCGAACACAGCTGCGCGATCTACGGCGCGCTCTTTCTCTTTCTTCGCGCCGGCGACGCTCTTAACCGCAACCGCGGCGTTCCTCGCGGCGAGCTCTAGCAGCGCGTCGCGCTCCTCCACAACGAGCTTGAGGCACTTCTCGAGGCTCCGCTTCTCCTCGCGCACTATCTCCAGCTCGCCGACTGCCGTCCTGCTAATCCCCCCTAGCTCGCCAACTGCCGTCCTGCTACTGATTTCCCCTGGCTTAGCGACTATTGCCCTGCCTGTCCCCCCTAGCTCGTCGACCTTAGTGTGCAAGCGATTGGGCTGCTTCTGCTGCTGTTGCTGCTTCGCGCGCGTCTCTATCACGTGATTCCCCGTCCGCATATTCCCGCGGCGCTCTTTATCGCGGATAAGCGCCGGGGCTAACAGCTAAGAAGCCGATACACAGCTAAGAGTGACGCATGAGCTTTAAACTTCTACCATGCCATGTTCCTATACGAATAATCTACTGATGAGCAACTATACCTCGACAGCCGCAAAGCGGCTGTTGGGCATGCCATATCTGGTCGGGCTACTGTGTGAATTGCCGCCTTTGCGCTGTGACTGCCTCTCAATCCAAGACATTTAATCACATTCTGGTCGAGAAAGAGTGCGAGAGGAATGTAATTATCTAAGCCGCGTGAACCTTATCGTGAATCCTAACCGACAAACGTTAATCCAGGTGATCGTCGCCCGTCCGTCCTCTTCCGGTCTCCCGACTGGGACCATCGCCGTGGCAAAGAAAAGTAACCACCAGCATGTGTAGTGTTTGCGCGAGGCGGTGGGTGGGGGGCATGCAGTGACCCTCAGTATAACCACACGTAACGCAGGAGAAATCTTATTTGTACTTGCTATAACTTCGGTACTGTGCCATCCAGCAGAGCAGAGCGAGTCAAAGCGAATGCCTTCCTCCTTCGCCGCACTCGACGGAAACAACACGGCCACTATGTAAACAAGCAAGCTCCAATTCCGTACCGCAAAGCAAGTTCCCATAGTTCCATGGGTGGAGGCTCAAGGCTGGGAAGGCAAGTGGCAAATCACCAGTGACAAGGTGGGAGAAATGCCAAGCCTAACATGGAGTTTTACTGTTGTACGTTGGAAAAATGTGATTCGACACAATGCGCGACGCGAGATTAGGTATGGGGGGCATTTGCGGGGATCCATGCAGGTCTTGGGCGGCACACCAGGGAGAAAGCGACGCGAGGCTGCTTGATTTAGGGAAGGCGTACCGAAAAAGACCAAGAGGGGCCCCACCCGACCACCCACAGCAGTCAGAGACGGTTGGGGCTGTTCCAATCACGGACGGACCGCCATTGGTTTGGAAGCACCCATATCGAGCGTGCTTTTACGCCAAATCATGTCTGTGCGTGTTTCGTGCATTTGCTAAGGACCAAGGGGTTGCTTCGCATATTCACTGATATTGGTAAGCACTACATGTTATCTATATATCTCCATAGATGTTCTACCTTATCCGAAAAGAAACACAACATACTGTTTGCATACTTAGTGCCTTGTAGGTTTACACACCTTTTTAGCGCTGTTTATTTCTTCCAGCATATTTGCGCTCACAACTTAGTTCTCTCTGAGTGAATTGTGCTTGCAAAAGGGTTATCGGCATTCTACACAAAATATTTTGTGTTAACACCAAAAGCGCTAAAGGAAGTTGCATGGTGTAATTGCTCATTATGAGCGCTGACCGATAAAATGAAACACTCACAAGTCAAAGAGTTTTCTCCGATCGACTTGATCATTGCGCACATGTTTTGGGTTGGGACGTTTGGAAGGGAAAGTATGATCCGTATGGTGTAAGGAATGGCAGCTCTGGTATGAAAGGAGTACCAGGCCAGGCTAGCTAGACATCACCAAGGTTCACACCATGGAAAAGCATTTATTTCACCTCTAACACAGATGGATTCACATGCTGCAGAATGTACGGTACATAAATTCCCGCAGTGCCCATATTACATGCATCCCTACGTATACCCGTACCTAACCAGCAGAGAAGACAGGTGCAGTAACCAAGATGGGAAGGTACTCTATTCTCCACAAGTATCATACGAGATCAGAGAGGTTAAGCGATCGCTCCACCGCTTTGCACCACGATGCAAACCTCTGCTCTCTTTCTTCTGAGGTAATCAACGGTAGAAACACCACTCCTCTCCTGCCATCTTCCGCTCCCTCTTCCTCTGCACTTTGCTCATCCTCCCCAACCGTCCCACCAAGCACCTCCTCTTCGCTCCACAGCCCGACTCCTATGCCAGCGGCGAGTGCTGCTCCCAGGGCTGTTGTCTCGATGTCTGCTGGCCGCTGCACTGGGCATCCGAGGAAATCAGCCTGATGGGAAGGAAGGAGGGAGAGTGGAAGACCGGAGGGAATGCATTGTGATGCGCCTTAACTCTCTTCGCTCCACAGCTTGACTCCTATACCCGTGGCAAGTGCTGCTCCCAGCGCTGTTGTCTCGATGTCTGCTGGCCGCTGCACCGGGCATCCGAGGAAATCAGCCTGATGGGAAGGATGGATGGAGGGAGGGGGGGAGAGAGCGCATGCATGTGCAAAGGAATGTTACAGCGAGGCACGGCAGAACTGTGGTCAACACACAATACAGCCAATCCCTCTCGTTACCAACATCGGACATTGAGTCAGCTCATGAGCCTTCCTTCCCCTAGTTCGCTCACCCACTCACCACGCAAAGGTCACTCGTCCTCCTCGCAGGAGTTCATGTGCGAATGCTCCATCCACCTTTGCTGCGAAGAACCCCACCTGGTATTCCAAACACTTGCACACGCAAACACTACACTGCTACCTCCCACCAACCCTCCTGCACCTCCAATAACCCCCAGGTTTGACACGTCTCAGAAAACATTTGACATTAAACACAAGCTGTTCCTTGCTGCTCTCTCCACTGCTGCTGCCAGGCTTGGGGCTGCTCTCAGGACCCAACAACAAGGTAGAATCTTCACATCCTTTGTCTCACCTGCAGCTGCATGAGAAGATTGTTGACCGATGCCCCTCCATCCATCCTCAACACAAACCGCCCCTTGCTGCCCTCTCTGTTGCTATCAGATACCAACAGTATGGTAAAACTGCCACATCCATTCGTCTCACCTGCAACTGCATAAGTAAGTTATTGACCGATGCCCCTCCATCCACCCTCAACACAAACTGCTCCTTGCTGCCCTCCCCGCTGCCTTCCCTGTTGCTGCTGCTGCCAGTGTTACCAACTCCTGTTGCTCCTGAGTGCACCGCATCAGACCGCATTGCATCTAGCACCTCCCGAGTCTGCAGGGGAGACGGAGGGAAAGGAGAAAAGCCGGATTCAGAAGCATTCTGCATGGCAGTGCTGCTGCTACTTCTGGCACTGCTCCCAACTCCTGCTGCACCTGACTGAACCGCATCAGACCGCATTGTATCTAGAACCTTCGAGTCTGCATGAGCAGGGTGAGAACGATCCTGGCATGAAGGCTAATTGACAGCGAGACAAGTTGCAGGCATGGAGACATGCACGTCACCTGACTGCACCGCATCCGACTGCACTGCATTTGCCTTAGCACTCGTGAGAGGGGCAGTGGGGAGCATGAATCACGGATGAAGGAGAGTGCAGTGCGGAGCAAGCTCTTCTGAGTCGACTCAAAGGTACAAGAGAGAGAGCTCGTACAAGTGCTGCTGCTGCAGCAGCGGGGTTTGCAGTGCAGCAGCAGCAGCAGCAGCGAAGGTAGACAACGCACTGGATGAACCAAGGCAGCCTGGCAGCCAAACCAAGAACTGCTCTTGCACTCTCAAGTGTTCTTCTGTTGCGTCAGACTGCCACAATCTAAACCCTGAACCCAATGCTCGCCTTGCTGTGAAGCAAGAGATACCTACGCCATGCCAATCTCACGATCTCTTGCACCAACAACCACACCTGCCATGCAGTTTGCTTCGAGCACTGCTTGAGCGACGAGCGCTCTTGTGGTGAAGCGCGACAGACCCATGCTGACCACAAGCACATGCCCCTTGTGCTGTGCGCTGCTGCTGCTGCACCCGTGCCACAAGCACATGCCCCTTGTGCTGTGCGCTGCTGCTGCTGCACCCGTGCCACAAGCACATGCTCCTTGTGCTGTGCGCTGCTGCTGCTGCACCCGTGCCACAAGCACATGCCCCTTGTGCTGTGCGCTGCTGCTGCTGCACCTGTGCCACAAGCACACCTCAAGCAGCAACAACCACCCACCTGCCACGCGATTGCTTCGAGCACTGCTCGAGCGATGTGGGCTCTTGTGGTGAAGTGCAACAGACCGGCACACAGTGACCACACATCACAGTGCCCACTTGCCAGCACAACCCACCTGCCACGCATTTGCTTCCAGCACTGCACGTGCGATGTGCGCTCTTGTGGTGAAGCGGGACAGACCGGCACACAGTGACCACACAGCACATACCTGCCTTCACACAACCCACCTGCCTTCACACAACCCACCTGCCTTCACACAACCCACCTGCCTTCACACAACCCACCTGCCACGCGATTGTGGGCTCTTGTGGTGAAGCACAACAGGCCGGCACTGACCACAGGCACATGCACAAGCCCGGTGTGTGCTGCTGCGCTTGCACCACAAGCACAATTCAGCGACAACACCCACCTGCCATGCGATTGCTTCCAGCACTGCCCGTGCAATGTGTGCCTTTGTGGTGAAGCGGGAGAGAGCAAACACATAGTGCCCGCACAGCACCCACCTGCCGGCAGAAGCACCCACCCACCTGCCATGCGATTGCTTCCAGTACTGCCCGGGCAATGTGCGCCCTTGTGGTGAAGCGCGAGAGACCCACTATCACTCCCCTCGCATCCTCCCTCCACCGCGGTGCAAACAGACCACTGCAATGCAACCAATGGAAGGGGAGAGCAGAAAAAGAGAGATGAGAAGCAAGAGGAGTGTGAAGACGATGTATGCGCAGTGGAACGAGGGGCACCCTCCTCTGTCCACTACCGCTCGCTTCCTCCCTCCACCGCGGTGCGAAAAGCCCGCTGCAACGGGGGAGCAGGAGGAGACAGAGAAGAGAATATTGAGTGTGAGTTGGGAGGTGCGGGTGGGAGGAGTGTGAAGGGAACGAATGCGAGGTGAGCAAGGAGCACCTGATAGCACTCCCCTCGCGTCCTCCCTCCACCGCGGTGCGAACAGCGCACTGCAACCATGCAATGAGGGAGCAGGAGGAGAAGGAAAGCGAGAAGCAAGAGGAGCGCAGGGACGATGAATGCAAAGCAGAGCAAGCGGAACCTTCCTCTGTTCACTATCACTCCCCTCACGCCCTCTCTCCATCGCGATGCGAGTAGCCCGCTGTGACAAGGGAGCAAGGTTTTCCCTGCACTGTGCCTGGCCACTCAACGTAAGGGCCAGGCGAGAACCTCCTGAAGGCAGGTACGAAGTAAACCCCGCCCGTGTTGGGCACCGAGGCAGCAAGGGCCCGAACCTCCCTGGTGCTGGAGATGATCCCGAGGTTGTCCCTCAGCCACTGCACGTCAAGGCCCATAATTCACACTTGAAGGCCTATACCACTCACACACCTAAAGCATGTACGACCCACCTGAAGGCAGGCACGAAGTAAACCCCCCCTGTGTTGGGCACCGAGGCAGCAAGAGATTCGACCTCCCTGGTGCTGGCGATGATCCCCAGGTTGTCCCTCAGCCACTGCACGGCCGCGCCTGCTATGGCTATGCTGCCCTCCAAGGCATAGTAGCACGTGCCGCTGCCGCCACTGCTGCTGGCGCTTCTGCCCATGCCACTACTGGGTTCTTCTGTGCGTTCCTCTGCGCCTGTCTCACTCCTGCTGCCAGCTCCGCCTGCCTCCCCTCTGGCCTCCCCTCCTCCGCTCTCTTCCCTTCTGCCCAACTGGAAAGCCACTGTGCTGAGAAGGCCGTGCTGGGACGCACACACCTGATAGTGGGGGCGAGAAACGGAACAACTGACATTCGCAGGGGTGAGGGGAGAGGAACAATGAAGCATTAAAGAGCAACTGCGCGTATGACTTTCTCATATAGCTATCCAGGTGTTAAGGAGGAGAAGGCACCAAACCTGAGGGCCTGTATTAAGCAGCATGAAGCACCCCGTGCTGAAAGAGGCCTTATCTTGCCCCTGGGAGCACCGCTGCCCCAGCATGGCGGCATTTTGATGGTAAAGAACAAGTAGGCCTCACCTGCGGCCCTGTGTTGAGCAGCATAAAGCACCCCGTGCCAAAGGTTGCCTTGGCTTGTCCCTGAACGCACCACTACCCCAGCATGGGGGCATGTTGGTCGCCCAAATACCTTATGCGTGTGCATATCACCCTCACCTGCGGCCCTGTGTTGAGCAGCATGAAGCATCCCGTACCGAAGGTGGCTTTGGCCTGCCCCTGGGAGCACCGCTGCCCCAACATGGCGGCGTGTTGGTCCCCCAGACAGCCCGACAATGGCACCCCTGCTAGTGGCCACGAGGAGGCTATAGGGGCGATGTGCTCTGGGGTGGTAGGGCGGGCAGGGCAGACAGGAACGGGAGCACAGGGAGAGAGAGCACGTGGGCCTGTGTGCCTGCCCCTGGGAGCACCGCTGCCCCAGCATGGCGGCGTGTTGGTTGCCCAGACAGCCTGACAGTGGCACCCCTGCTAGCAGCCAGGAGGAGGCTATAGGGGCGATGGCTCTGCGGTGGTAGGGAGAGAGAAGGGAGGGAGGTCACAGAAGGAAGGGAGAGAGGGATTTGGCCTGCGTGGCTGAGATGAGAGCACCGCTGCCCCAGCGTGGCAGCATGCTGGTCCCCCAGACAGCCCGATAGTGGCACCCCTGCTAATGGCCAGGAGGGGGCTATAGGGGCGAAGGCCCCGAGGTGGGAGGGGGAGAAGAGAGAAGGGAGGGATAGATGGTTATAGAGGGAAGGAGAAGCAGGGGAGCCCAGAGGGAGCGTTGGCTGTGTGCCTGCCCCTGGAAGTGAGAGCACCGCTGCCCCAGCATGGCGGCGTGTTGTCCCCCAGACAGCCTGACAGTGGCACCCCTGCCAGTGGCCACGAGGAGGCAATGGGGGCGATGGGCTCTGAGGAGAGGGAGGAGTGGGGAGAGAAAAGGGAGCATAGAGAGAGCGTTGGCTCAGGTGCCGTGTGCATTGCTGCCCGGAGAGAGTGTTGGCTGCCCGGAGAGAGTGTTGGCTGCCCGGAGAGAGTGTTGGCTGCCCGGAGAGAGTGTTGGCTGCCCGGAGAGAGTGTTGGCTGCCCGGAGAGAGTGTTGGCTGTCCGGAGAGAGTGTTGGCTGCCCGGAGAGAGCGTTGGCTGCCCGGAGAGAGTGTTGGCTGCCCGGAGAGGGTGTTGGCTGCCCGGAGAGAGCGTTGGCTGCCCGGAGAGAGCGTTGGCTGCCCGGAGAGAGTGTTGGCTGCCCGGAGAGAGTGTTGGCTGCCAAGAGAAAATGTTGGCTGCTTGCTTTTTGCGCAGGCACCTGACAGAGGCATCACAATCGCCTATGGTTGGAGGGAAGAGGAGCATCAGAGGAACCAAACCATGACACAATCAAACCTGTTGCTTCCTTCGCTTTGCTCTCACTTCCTCACCCATAACCAGCCTCTTACTGTGAGAAATAAAGTTGGAAGTGAAGTTGATTGATTTGATTGAGAAGGATGGGGGTTTACATAGGGAACGGGTTGGATGCTAGCCTAGGTGAACATTATTGGACCCCAACCAAGGAGTTGGGTTGGGAGATTATTGGTGGGGTCCAATAATGTTGGCCAAGTTGGAGTTGGGCCAACATTATTGGAGGGGACCAATAATTCTACCCAACCCAACCTTTGGGGTCCAATAATTGGACCAAGGTTGGGTTTCCAACCTACAAATTGGGTAACCCCTGCTTGTACACCCAAACTAAGTTTGGGTGCTTAACTCTAGCCTATCCTATAGCATATATGCAGGTTACAAGAGAGGAGATATTCTAACACAACCCCTTAACCTGCAGAGATGCGGAAAGGCTTGAGAGAAGCAACCCCTGAATCAAGGCGCGCCTGGGGGAGCGAGGCCGATGAGGCGGAGGAGAGCAGAGTGCGCGGGGCGAAGAAGTGCTTTGGTGAAGATATCCGCCAAATTGGCTTCAGTGGCGATCTTGCGAACGGCGATAAGATTCTGTTGGACGAGTTCGCGGATGAAGAAATAGCGGAGCTCGATGTGCTTGGAGCGACCATGAAAGACGGGGTCCTGGGTGAGATGGATGGTGCTGGCGTTGTCACACCAGAGTGTGGGACAGCGCTGGGGGGCACCAAGCTCTGCCAGAAGAAAGCAGAGCCAGCGGGACTCTTGAGCGGCCATGGTGCCCGCATAGAGCTCAGCTTCGCAGGAAGAGAGAGCGATGGCTGAGGAGCGGGTGGAACGCCAGCTGATAAGTCCGCTGCCGAGGGTAAAGCCATAGCCTTGGGAGGAGCGGCGGTCTGGCTGATTGTCTGCCCAGGAGGAGTCGCTGAAGCCAGTGTGAGAGCGTGATCCTTGGTGCCGCAGAGATAGCGAAGGACCCGCTTGGCGGCAGCCCAGTGTTCCTCAGTGTGACGGCCAGAGCCGACGAACCGAGCAAGGACGCTGACGGGGTAGGCGAGGTCGGGGCGGGTGCACATCATCGCGTACATCAGCGACCCAACGAGCTCGGCGTAGGGCCGGGAGGAGGTGGAGGGGGAGGTGGGTGGCGCAAGTTGGTGACCGAAGGGGAGGGGGGTGGAGACTGGTTTGGCCTGCGCCATCTCGAACTTCTCCAGGACCTGGCCGATGTAGTGGGACTGGGAGAGAGTGATGGTGCGGGCGGATCGATCACGGGTGATGGCCATACCGAGGTAGTTCTGCAGTGGGCCGAGGTCCTTGCACTTGAGACGTTCCTGGAGGGACCGCTTCATCTGGTCCATGTCGGCCCTGGAATCCGCCAGCAGGATCATGTCGTCAACGTAGACCGAGATGAAAAAGCGACTGGGGGAAGAGCGGATGAAGAGGCTGGCATCGGAGTGGGAGGGGGAGAAGCCAAGGGACTGGAGAGTAGCAGACAGCTTCGCATGCCATTCTCGTGGTGCCTGCTTCAGACCGTAAACCGGTCGCCGAAGTTGCCAGACAGTGTTGTCGGGGAAAGCAGCATGGAATCCGGGAGGCAGGTCGGCGGAGGAAGATGCGCTCGTGCAGTTCGCCTTGCAGGAACGCGTTGGAGACGTCCATGGAGTCAATCTCCATGTTGTCTCGTGCACCGATGTCAAGAAGGGTGCGTAGGGTGGCCTGCTTGACGGTGGGGGCGAACGTGAACCAGTAGTCCTCAGCCCAGGTCTGGGTGAACCCCTTGGCAACGTAGCGGGCTTTGTAGACTGGGTCTTCTCCCGGCAGCTGCTTAACTCGAAAGATCCACTTGCCTTCAACAAGGTTGGCGTCAGGAGGGAGGGGAACGTCAACGAAGGAATCGTTGCGGATGAATGCTTCACATTCCTGGAAGATGGCGGCTATCCACTTATCGGCGTCAGGGCAGGTGATAGCCTCTTGGAAGGTGGAGGGGACGAAGATGGTGGGAGCGGAGATCGCGCTAAGGAGTAGAGCGCCGCGGAGGTCAGGGTAAAGCACGGTGAGAGAGGGAGTGTGTCGCCGAACCATGGTGAACTCCTCATGGGAGTCCTCCAGTTGGTTGAGGGAGGGAGGAGACGGTACGCCAAGGATGGGGTCAAGGGAGCGGGTGTGCATGCGAGGGAGGAGGAAGGGTGAGGAGCGGGCAGTCGCCCTATGCCGCTGCTGTTGCTGGTGCTGCTGGAGCCCCTGCTGCTGCTGCGGCTGCTGCTGCTCCTGCTGCTGCTGCTGCTGCTGCGGCTGCGGCTGCTGCGGCTGCTGCTGCTGCTGCGGCTGCTGCTGCTGCCCCTGCTGCTGCTGCGGCTGCTGCTGCTGCCCCTGCTGTTGCTGCTGCTGCTGCTGCTGCTGTGGCTGCTGCTGCTGCTGCTGCTGCTGTGGCTGCTGCTGCTGCGGTTGCTAGGATGGGTGAGAAGGAGAGTGGGAAGGGGAGGAGGGAGAGGGAGCGGCGGAGTGTGCAGGAGATGCAGGAGCAGTGGGATCATAGATGTCGGCAGATGAGGGTGGCGGAAGCGGGGTGGGGAGAGGTGGGAGAAGGGGTGCCGGAGGGAGGAGGGGAGGGAGGACGGTGTCGGCCCAAGCGAGGGGTCGTGTAGGAGGAGGGAGGGGGTCCGACGGTGGAGAGGGGTAGTATGGGGTGGTCTCATCAAACACAACGTCAATGCTGCGGATGAGGCGACCAGAGGGAGGGTGAAGGAAGAGGTAACCAGGCGAGTCGCGGTTGTGTCCGAGGTAGACACACTCGAGGGCGCGAGGAGCGAGTTTGCCGTGAGTGCGGTCAGGTGGAGGGATGAGCACATATGCCTTGCAACCCCAGACACGGAGACCGGCAGCGTCAGGTTTGGTCCCTGACCAGAGCTCCGTGGGGGTAGTGGCAGTGTGTTGGGGATGGGAGTGAAGGTTGAGGAGGAGGGCAACGTGGAGGAGGGCATAGCCCCAAAGAGAAGGAGGGGTGGAGGCGTGAGCGAGGAGACAGCGGGCGATCTTGGTAATTTCGCGAATGCGGCTCTCTGCGACGCCGTTCTGCTGTGGGGAGTGGGGAAGAGTGTGGGTCTGTTGGATGCCATGGGTGGTGCAGTAGTGAGAGAGAGTGCGATTGAGGAATTCGCCTCCCCCATCAGAGTGGAGGCGGCCGATGGGACGTTTGAAGTGGGTGCGGCATTGCTCTGCCCAGTTAATGATAATGGTTGGGGCCTGGTCTTTGGTGTGGAGGAGGAAAATGGAGGAGTAGCGGCTGTGATCGTCAACAAGAACCAACATGTAGCGATGGCCTTGGCGTGAGCGGGTGGGAGAGGGCCCCCAGAGGTCCATATGGACAAGGTCAATGGGTGCAGGAGCAAAGGATGGGTGGCTGTGGTGAGGAGATTGTTTGAGTTTGCCGTGGATGCAGGAGGGGCATTGGGGGGCTGGGGAGGAGGGAAGGGGAGGGAGAGTTGGAGGGAGGCTGTGAAGAAGTCGTGAGGTGACGGCAGTGCGGAGAGCGGCAAAATTCGGATGGCCGAGTCGGTGATGTAGGAGAACAGCGGGGTGGGAGAGATGGTCGGAGGTGGAGGGGATTGGAACGAGTGAGGACGGGATGGAGGAGTGGGGAGGAGGCGGAGTGGGAGGGGAGGGAGGGAGGTGGGGAGGACAAGTGGAGGTACCCGCACGAGTGGTAACATGGCAGGAGGATGGCCACGGAGTGCGGAGAGTGTAGAGGCGAGTGCGGGGGCAGAGGGGTATGCGGAGGAGGAAGCGGCCGGAGGCAGTGTGGTAAAGGTCACAGTAGGTGGCATTACCAGGATAGACGGCAGTGATACCTGCACCTTGGATTTCTCGGTGAAAGAGGAGGTTGTTTCGGAGAGTGGGGATGTGGAGACCAGTTACCTTGCCAGAGGGGAAGAGTGAGCAGGGGAGAGTGAGCAGGGGAGAGTGGAGAGGTGTGTGCATGGGATGGTGAAGCTGCTATCGGCACCGTGAACCTGAGTGGGAGGAGAGAGGGGTGTGAGTGTACCAGCGTCTTTGAGGGCGGTCTCAGTGGCCCCACTGTCAAGGACAAAGTCCAAGGTGGGTGAGGAGGAGGAGGAAGACACTGAGTACTGGAAAGTGGTTTCATTAATGTTGGATGGGTACATGGAAGGAAGAGAGGGCGAAATAGCTATGTTGCCAAGGAAGCTCTCGTGAGTGAGAGGGGTGGCAGTGCTACTGGGGTGGGGTGGGGCACCCCAAAGGGGGGCAGGTGAGGCTTGAGCGGCCATGGCTGCTGTGCCAAAGTTCAGCTGCTGCTGCTGCTGCCAGGGAGGAGGGCTGGGTCCCCACTGGGGCTGGGGTCCTGACCCCCATGGGTGCTGCGGCGGCTGTGGCTGCTGCTGCTGCTGCGGCTGAGGCTGAAACAGCTGCTGTAACTGCTGCTGCTGCTGCTGGAGGTTGAGGAAAGGTGTGGGGGGAGCAAGGAGGCGGAGGTGGGCAGGGAGGTAGTCCGGATTGGTTTGGATATCGGTGGGGGAGGGGCGTGGGGAGATGTTGCCCCACTTTGGAGGAGTGCCAACATTACCCCGTGCGTACCAGGCATCATCGAGAGCTTTAAAGCACGTGCCAGGGGGATGGTTGGTCTGTCCGCAGGGAGTTCCAGCCCGGGGACCATAGCGGCGGACATAGGTGCAGGGAGGAAGCGTGCCAGGGCGACTCCCGCGACTTGCAGTGGGTCCACCCGAAGTGGTGGTGCCAGGCTCATCCCAAATGGTGCCACCACGGCTGCTGCTGCTTCCTTGACCACCACCTCCCTTGCCCCCACCTCCTCCTTTGCCGTTGTTCTTTCCCTGCTTGCGAGGCTGGGTAGCGTTGAGGGAGGAGGAGGTGGTTTGGGAGGAGGCGAGGTTGACAATGGGTGTACGAAGTTTAACTTCGGTATCAATGATCCACTGTTCAACGGAGGCGAGACCGGCCATGGGATTGGCTTCGGTAAAGGCGTGGAGGCGGGATTCGTAGTCTAGGGTGAGGTTAAAGAGGAGGCGATGGATTTGAAGAGGTTCGGAAAGGTCGGCCTGGCGGGCTTCGAGGCGATCAGCTACCTCGCGCATGCGGCCGACATAGTCGACTGCTCCGTCGCAGGTGGCAAGGTGATGGAAAAATACTCTTGGAAGAGGATGCCGACGGAGCTGATGTCGCGGCGCTCAAACATGGCATGGAGTTCTGCCCAGATGACCGAGGCACGGAGTTCCCGAGCCTGGAAGCGACGCATGAGGGAGTCAGGGAGAGCTCCAAGGAGAACGGTGCAAGCGCGGGTGTCAGCAGCTGTCCAGGCGATGAGTCTGGGGGTGAAGTCAGCCACGTCGTCCTTGTATTTGGCGACGACGGCGAGGTGAGCGTCGCGACCAGCAACCGCCTGATCATAGGCCTCAACTGCAGCATCGTACTCGGCTTTGCGGATGAGGTATTCACGGCGGCGTAAGATGAAATCAGTATCAGCGGTGGCTTGGTCGGCGGTGATCTGAAGATCGGGTTCAAGAGGGGGGTCGCCAGGAGCGGGAGGAAGAGGAGGAGTATCGCCGGGGTGGGGAGGTTCGGTGGGGGGGAGGGCATGGGGGCGACGGAGGATGACGTCAAGGACACGGTAGGGGGGAACCCATGCGTCGGAGAGAACGCGTCGGATGCTGCCGACGAAGGAGTGCCAGTTGACGGCGGACTTGTCCGCGGCGAGTTGTAGCTTATCAATGGAGGAGGTATCAATAGGGGGAGGGAGTGGGGAGGGGGAGGGTGTGGTGGTAGCCATGATGGACGGCTGCAGGTGGACCTGCAGTGGTCACGGAGGAGTGTGAGGAACAACGGCAGCGAGGCCGCGGGAGGGGGGGGGGGGGGAGTGGCGCGGTGAGGCGGCGGCTGGCGAGGCCGCGGCGCTGGCGCGGAGGCGGCGTTAAGGCCGCGGAGAGGCGCGGGCGGCGGCGGCTGGCGAGGCCGCAGCGGTGCTGGCGTGGAGGCGGCGTCGATGCCGCTGGAGGGAAAAACGCGGGCGGCGGCGGCTGGCTAGGCCGCGGCGGCTGGCGCGGAAGCGGCGTCGAGGCCACGGAGAGGCGCGGACGGCAGCGGCTGGCGAGGCCGTGGCGGCGTCGGCGCGGAGGCGGCGTCGGGGCCGCGGAGAGGGGGAGAGCGCGGGCGGCGGCGGCTGGCGAAGCTGCGATGTCATCGGCGCGGAGGCGACGTCGGGGCCGTGGAGGAGAGTGGCGCGAGCCGCGGTGGTTTGGGAGGCCGCGATGCTGCGAAGGAAAAAAAAGGTGCTAGGGGAGGAGGAAGGGGCGGCGAGAGAGCCGCGAGGAAAAAAGTTAAGAGAGGAGGCCGAGGGTTGCAACGGCCTTTGATACGAGGAGAATAGGCCTAGGATTGTTATAGCTCTATACCATGTGAGAAATAAAGTTGGAAGTGAAGTTGATTGATTTGATTGAGAAGGATGGGGGTTTACATAGGGAATGGGTTGGACGCTAGCCTAGGTGAACATTATTGGACCCCAACCAAGGAGTTGGGTTGGGAGATTATTGGTGGGGTCCAATAATGTTGGCCAAGTTGGAGTTGGGCCAACATTATTGGAGGGGACCAATAATTCTACCCAACCCAACCTTTGGGGTCCAATAATTGGACCAAGGTTGGGTTTCCAACCTACAAATTGGGTAACCCCTGCTTGTACACCCAAACTAAGTTTGGGTGCTTAACTCTAGCCTATCCTATAGCATATATGCAGGTTACAAGAGAGGATATATTCTAACACTTACTACAGGGGTTCAAGACTTGACCCATCAGCAGCCCACCCAGCGCTCACACCAGCATTGCAAATGCACTCACACCAGCATTGCAAATGCACTCACACCAGCATTGCAAATGCGCTCACACCAGCATTGCAAATGCGCTCACACCAGCATTGCAAATGCGCTCACACCAGCATTGCTAATGCGCTCACACCAGCATTGCAAATGCGCTCACACCAGCATTGCAAATGCACTCACACCCAGCACACTCGTGAGCGCATTTGCTGGGAGGGGGGAGAAACCCAGCACACGCACAATCTCCCCCCCTGTCGCCCCCGCCTCGCTCTCACTCCCTCACCCCTCAGCAGCCCACCCAGCAGCCCATCAAGCAGCCCACTCAGCAGCATTGGAAATGACAGTCGGGAGGGAGGATGTTTGCGGATATGGAAGGTGGGGAAGGGATAAAACCAAGATACGCATAATCCCTTCGACCTCACTTCCTCACCCATCAGCAGCCCATGAAAGCTCACCAGCACTGGAAATGATGCTGGGGTGGGGAGGATGCTCGTGGGCTGTAGAAGGTGGGGAAGGGAGAAAAAAAAACCCGCACGCACAATCTGCCCCCATGCTGCCTCCGCTTCGCTCTCACTCCCTCACCAATCAGCAGCCCACCCAGCAGCTCACTCACCAGCACTGGAAATGATGCTGGGGAGGATGCTTAACATACTCGCAGGTGCTCTCACTCCCTCAACCATCAACACAATCCTATGTCTGAGGCGTCTGGAACAAACACCTATCAGCGGCCCTTCAAAGCTCACCAGCACTGGAAATGATGCTGGGGAGGATGCTTCTGGGAATGTTCAGAGCGTCGAGTATGGGCTGGTTCCACTGCAGCGCTCTCAGGTCCATAAGGAGCGTGCGCGAGGCGTTGCTGCTGTCCGTCACGTGGCAGGCACCGCCTGTGTTAGGGGGGGGCGGGTGTGTGCGGAGGGGTGTGGAGGGGTGCGATGAGTGGGTGTGTGTGTGGAAGGGGGGAATGGGTTGGCTCCACTGCATCGCCCGGAGGCCCATGAGCAGCGTGCGCGAGGCGTTGCTGCTGTCCGTCACGTGGCAGGCGCCGCCTGCATGAACACACCGAGGGATGGGAGATATCAGACTGTTGGGCGTGCCAGGCTGTCAGCCCCATGCAGCACAACGCCCTGAGGTCCATGAGCAGAGTGCGGGAGGCGGTGCTGCTGTCAGTCACATGGCAGGCACCGCCTGTAGGGGGGGTGCGGAGGGGTGCGGAAGGGTGTGGAGGGGTGTGATGAGTGGGTGTGTGTGTGGAAGGGGAGAATGGGCTGGCTCCACTGCAGTGCTCTCAGGTCCATGAGGAGCGTGTGCGAGGCGTTGCTGCTGTCCGTCACGTGGCATGCACTGCCTGTAGTGTGTGTGGAGGGATGGATGAGAGATACCAGGGTGGAATTCAGAAACCAAGGGACAGACAGGAGAAGGAACGTGAAGGGAAAATGAATGACAATGACAAAAGGACCGTTTGGGTGGGTGGGTAAAAAGGATGAATCGTGAGACGTGCATAGTGCGATGAGTTGACACATTCTGAGAGCGCCACCTGTCAGGTTCCAGATGAGCCACGTGTCAATGGTGCCAAACAGCGCATCGCCTTCCTCCACAGCCTGCCTGACAGCTGGCACCTCCTCCAGCAGCCACGTCAGCTTGAGCGCGCTGAAGTAGGTGCTGAGTGGCAGCCCCGTCACCCCCCTCCACTCATCCCGTCCACCTGAAAGCTGCTGCTCCAGTCGCCTGGGTGGGTGCAGGCAGACGGAAGGAAAAGGTGCAAACATGAAAACGTGAGCAAAATCAGCATGCTTGTAATGAGTTTAGAGATTTCACAAAACAAGAAAAATGAGCACACCAATATTATGCAAAAAAGAGATCACTGACTTTTGCTGCCTAAGAAGCACTCACAACTCACTGGCATAGAGCAATGAGCAAGGCACAAAACGCAAGCAGTCTTCCATCCACACTAAGGCATTGTACAGAGGCTTCCATGTGCTTTTCCATGGACTTGTGAAGCCACAACAAGAACCACTGGCACCACCAATGACTCACTGACACAGGGCGCTCGTGCGCACGTCCTTCCACACAATTGCATTGCAGAAAGCTCCCCCGTGCTCCTGCGTCACAAACATGCCACGCCACAGCCTTGTCATGACACAACAAGCAGTCCCAATCCCCAACTCACTGGCAAAGAGTGCTCGTGCGCACGTCCATCCACACTATAGCGTTGTACAGAGGCTCGCCCGTGCTACCGTTGCCACACTACCACAACCAATCTTAACTCACTGGCAGAGAGCGCTCGTGCGCACGTCCATCCACACTATAGCGTTGTACAGAGGCTCGCCTCCCCTGTGCTCCTTTTCTCCACAATGTGCTAAGCACCACAGGCACCACAGGCACCACAGGCACCACAGGCACCACAGGCACCACAGGCACCACTGGCACCACTGGCACCACAGGCACCACAGGCACCACAGGCACCACTGGCACCACTGGCACCACTGGCACCACTGGCACCACTGGCACCACTGGCACCACTGGCACCACTGGCACCACTGGCACCACAGGCACCACTGGCACCACTGGCACCACTGGCACCACTGGCACCACTGGCACCACTGGCACCACTGGCACCACTGGCACCACTGGCACCACTGGCACCACCAATGACTCACTGGCACACAGCGCTCGTGCGCACGTCCATCCACACAATCGCGTTGTACACAGGCTCGCCCGTGCTCCTGCGCCACAAACATGCCATCCCACAACCTTGCCATGACACAACACAACAAGCTGCCCCAGTCCCCAACTCACTGGCACACGGCGCTCATGCGCACGTCCATCCACACTATGGCGTTGTATAGAGGCTTCCATGTGCCTTTCCATGCCTTGTGAAGCTACAACTTCACCACTGGCACCACGATGACTCACTGGCAGACAGCGCTGGTGCGCACGTCCATCCACACTATGGCGTTGTACAGAGGTTCCCCCGTGCTCCTGCGCCACACGACAGTCGTCTCCCTCTGATTGGTCAGCCCCACCGCCCTGACAGTCGCCGGCCCCACGACAACCCCCTTGCTCCGCGCTGCTGCCATGGCTCCCTCCATGCACTGGCGGACGGTGGAGAGGATGACCATGGGGTCATGCTCTACCCAGCTGCAAGAAGGATGGGAGGGGAGGGAGGGGAGGTAGAGTGGTCTATTAACAAGTTCCTGCCCCGTGAGGCTCGCTGCTGCCATGGCTCCCTGCATGCACTGACGGACCGTGGACAGGATGACCATGGGGTCATGCTCCACCCAGCTGGGAAATGAGGCGACAGTGGGTTGGGAGGGAGGTAAGGAGGAAAGGGAAAGAGGTCTGATGTGCGGTGTATTGTGCTCCGCGCTGCTGCCACGGCCCCCTCCATGCACTGGCGGACGGTGGAGAGGATGACCATGTGGTCATGCTCCACCCAGCTGGGCACGGGAGTAGGGTGGGAAGGTGGGGGAGAGAGAAGATAAGCCTGGCTGTTGCATCTCCGCGCTGCTGCCACGGCTCCCTCCATGCACTGGCGGACGTGGAGAGGATGACCATGGGGTCATGCTCCTACCAGCTGGGATGGAGAAGCAGAAATTACCGGGAGAATGAGAGGGTTGAGAATGGGGTGACGATGGAACAGAGGCAAGATTGTTTCGCTGTTGCGCTGCAGCCCTTGCCAGGCCAGACAGCTCGTTGTCCCTTCTTTGAATGAATAGCTTCGAATGGGATCAACTTACAGGCAAGTTTCCGCTTTAACTCGTAACGAGGATCCTGCGAATGCACGAACCGTTCTAAGGCCAGAATGAGTACAGCGAGCGTACCCGGCCTGTGGCTGAATCTGCTCAAACTCCATCTGATGCGACGCGACGACACGTAAATGCTCGTCGTAGAGGAAGAAGCGCGTGCTCGTCGTGCCCTGGTCGATGGCTCCCACCAACCACCCCTCCCCGCGATCGCCGCTGGTCGCCATGCTCGCACGCGCGGCGTGCGCTACTAAGCTTGGAACGTCCCGTCTGGAAACACTGGACGGAGTGCCTCGAGCGGAAAAAGGGACGGCCGTTGAAATGCTTCTAAACGACTGCTCGAAAGTACGATTTTGTCGGATCTGGTGGGACAGCCCGTGCCGTTTCCAGTCGCCTCCACGGAGGTTGGAGAACGGGTTTCCGGCGGTCACAGCATACCGGTGCTTCTGCCAGCTGCGGGAAATTCCTGACACTGAGACGTCGAGAGTGGCCCGCGAAACAACCAAGGTCGCCGCGGACCGGATAAGCATTGCCAGGTCAGCAGCGCGTCGCGAAAATTTTGTTGGCCGAGAAAGCGAGTGTGCTGTGGTGCTGCCGAGCCGAATGCAGTTGGCCCTTGGTGTTGCCGTGTGACATTTCCAGTGACGGTGAATGTGATTCGGCCATGGCGGGAAAAGGAGTGATGACGCATTTTCAGCGAATGGAAATACTTGGTCACGAGTGGTACGTGAAACTACTATATGAAAGATCTTTATCGAAATAGCTTCAATGAGCTATATCCAAACAGTGGTTCTGTCTGTATCGAATAACAAGTTTTTTTCAGCCCAGCCGTGCTCTGCAAGCCAAGGTCGTCAAGTCAAGCATATCAAACCATTGCAACATACCAGACCGCAGCACACCGTCCAGAACGTCTGACACCCACAATGTTGCGGGCAAAACCCCCCGCTGCCCGTACTGGCAGGGCAGATCAAACCCCTCTGGGTTGGAACAGAACATTCCATTCCCTTCCCGTGTCTTCCGTCCCATTCTCTCTCCTCCATCCCTTCCATTCTCACATCTCTCTACTCCCATACCCCTCTCGAGCATTCCCACCAACATTTCTCTGAATTCGCCTTTCCCCACCTCGGATTCAGCTGAGCTTTCCAAGGTACCTCGGCTGAACCGAAGCTGGGGGTTTCTCGATCCACTATCGTTCAATTCGGAATCCCTTTTTCCTCCGTGCTCGGTTTCCTCGTGTCGTTCGCGCGTCGGTCCTTAGTATATTAGGAGGTAGCACCGCCGGCGAGGCGATTTGCTGTATGCCACTGCATCTCACCTCGCGATCGGGCGCGGACGGCGGCGCCGTGGAATCCGACGATCGCGAGCACAAGCGCCAGAAGATCGACGGCGAGGACGCGACCGTAGTGACCGACCCTAAATCAGCCGATTCCGTTCCGTCCAAGGAGACGATTCCGTCGAATCGCGACGTGGAAATGGCTCCGCAGCCGACGTCTGACAGCGCGAACGGCGCCGCGACCGGCGCCGGCGGAGGAGGGGAGATTGTGATTGACGAGGATCTGCACAGTCGCCAGCTGGCGGTGTATGGCCGCGAGACGATGAAGCGGCTGTTCGGCGCGAAGGTCCTTATCTCGGGCCTCAACGGCCTTGGCGTGGAAATCGGTACGTGAACCGAGGTGACAGTAGAGATACGATTGGTCGTGAGTTTCACTAGCGGAACTGGCGGTGTATGGCCGCGAGACTGTGAAACGCAGGTCCTGATCTCGGTGCTCGACGGCCTTGGTGTGGAAATCGGCACGTAAAGCGAAGTGATAGTAGAGTTATAATTGGTCGATGAATTTTTGTTTCTGAGAAACTGGCGGTGTATGGTCGCGAGACAATGAAACGCCTATTTGGCGCTACGGTTCCACCAGATCTCACCGGCCTTGTTGTCCGGGTTGGTACGCGAAGGCGCTTAGAGAGGGATGCGATAGCTCGATGTCGAATTTGCAATAATCAGATGGTGTATGGCCGCGCGTATCTCTGAAAAGACATGGATCTTGGAATTTTCAGATGTTTTACAAGATCTGGGTATTCTGTGCGAGATTCGTGTCTTCAGAAATTCGATTCGCTGACGTGCACGACTGAATGTCATGGGTTCAAGCCGATTCAAGCGTGTTCGTTAGTATTCGTGACGCGCCAGGCTCCATCTGCACGCTCCTACCACTCATGTGTTTTACGGTTCAGGCGACTGTGTGTGTTTTACACGCTCCCAAGCGGCTGATACTTGTCCGTTGACTGTTCGTTGTGGCTGACGCTCCTTCAACCATTACCGCCCTCGGTTCTATCACGGGTTCAGGGCTTTACGCCTTTCCGTTCATTGCTTCATTCACTCAACCTCCTCCACTTTGCTCGCCTCCTCCGTGCGTCGCTTCCCCCCTTCATCGGAGCTTGTTTTTAGCACTTGTCCTGATTTTTCCTCCATCCTCGTTTTTATCCCCCGCGTCAAGTCCGCGACAGTGCACGATACAGTCACAGTAACGGTGCAGCACCTCTCGGCGCGGTTCCTACTCTCCAAGGCCGATGTGGGGGTCAACCACGCGTAATCTAAACTATCAAACATCAGACCCATTCTCCTCTCCCTTATCACCCTGTTTCCGTTCCTCGTTCTCCCCATTCAATCCTCTCAGCCAAGAACGTGATTCTAGCGGGCGTGAAGTCCGTGACAGTGCACGATACAGTCACAGTCACGGTGCAGCACCTTTCCGCGCAGTTCTTCCTCTCAGAGGCCGACGTGGGGCAGAACCGCGCGTAAACTAAACTATTAAACATCAGATCAGACCCGTTTTCCTCTCCCTTTTCACCCCGTTTCCGTTCCTCGTTCTCCCCATTCAATTCTCTCAGCCAAGAATGTGATTCTAGCGGGAGTAAAGTCCGTGACAGTGCACGATACAGTCACAGTAACGGTGCAGCACCTCTCGGCGCAGTTCTTCCTCTCAGAGGCCGACGTGGGGCAGAACCGCGCGCAGGCGTGCGCTGCGCGCCTGCAAGAGCTGAACAAGGCCGTGGAGGTGCACGTTCACACGGCGCCCATCGAGAAGGAGTTTTTGGGGGATTTCCAGGTGATTTACAGTGGGAGGAAGGGATGTTAGTGGTGTGTGGGGCGTACGCTGCGCGCCTGCAGGAGCTGAACAAGGCGGTGGAGATTCACGTGCACACGGCGCCCATTGAGAAGGAGTTTTTGGGGGACTTTCAGGTGGGTGATGGAGGGAGTGGGGTTAGTGGTGTATGAGTCGTGTGTTGCGCGCCTGCAGGAAGCTCAACGGGGTGGTACTTGTGCACGGCACGTGCACACCGCACCCATTGAGAAGGAGATTCTGGGCGATTTCCAGGTGAGTGACAGGGGGATGAAGGGAGATGGATGTTCACGTGCATAGCACCGACCTGCCTTTCGACCAAGCTGTTGAGTTCGACGCCTACTGCCACGCGAACTCTCCCCCTGGTGCCCTTCATCCGCTGCGTGACCCAAGCAGTCTGACTCTACGACGTTGAACTCCTTCATAACCCTCTCCTCCTTTCTGCCCATTGCGCATACCCCTGTTCCAGGCGGTCGTGTTCACTGACTTACCTCTCGACCAGGCTATCGAGTTCGACGCCTACTGCCACACCCACTCGCCCCCGGTGCCCTTCATCCGCTGCGAGACCCAAGCAGTCTGAGCCGTGCGTTGATAACCCTCTCCTTCTTTTCATGCATCCCCCTATCCACCCTCCAGGCGGTCGTTTTCACCGACCTACCTCTCGACCAAGCTATCGAGTTCGACGCATACTGCCACACCCACTCCCCCGCCGTCCCCTTCATCCGCTGCGAGACTCGGGGCGTGTTCGGTGCGATCTTCTGCGACTTCGGCCCAAAATTCACCGTCACCGATATCGACGGGGAGGAGCCCTTCTCGGGAATCGTTGCCTCTGTAGCCAAGGATTCCCCTGACGCCCTCGTGACCTGTGTGGACGATGAACGGCTGGGATTTCAAGATGGCGATCTGGTGGTGTTTTCGGAGGTGCGGGGGATGACGGAGCTTAATGACGGGAAGCCCAGGCGTGTGAGGAACGTCCGGGCGCATTCGTTCGTGTTAGACGACGACACGTCAGCGTATGGCGCGTATGAGAGCGGTGGGATCGTGACGCAGGTAAGGGAGCCCAAGGAGTTGGCGTTTGGGCCCTCGCTGCTTGTATTTCAGCCGCTCTCTGCTGGCCTTTTGGCCGCTTGCTGCTCTACTCTCCTTCCTTCCAAATTCCCTAACCAGCGGTCTATCTTGCTGTCCAATCTATCCGTGTGACGCAGATGAAGCAACCCAAGGAGCTGGCCTTTCGGCCGCTCTCGGCCTGCCTGGACCAACCCGGAGAGTTCCTGCTCCCAACTTCACCAACTATCTCTCTCTCCTGCTGTACAATCTCTCTGCGTGACGCAGGTGAAGCAACCCAAGGAGTTGGCCTTCCGCCCCCTCGCGGCCTGCCTGGACCAGCCCGGCGAGTTCCTGCTGAGCGACTTTGCCAAGTTCGACCGGCCGCCACTGCTGCACCTCGCCTTCCAGGCTCTAGACGCTTTCCGCAAGGAAACCGGGAGGTTCCCCGCGCCGGGGTCGGAAGCGGATGGGGCGAGGGTGGTGGAGTTGGTTAGGGAGGTGAATGGGCGCGCGGGGAAGGATGCGCAGGTGGAGGAGGGGGTGGTGAAGGAGGGGGAGGGGCTGATTCGGCAGCTGGCGCACGGGGCGAGTGCGGAGATTTGCCCGATGGCGGCCATGTTTGGAGGGATCGTGGGGCAGGAGGTGGTGAAGGCGTGCTCGGGCAAGTTCCACCCGCTCTTCCAGGTGAGATTTCAGCGGGGCCTTCAATTTCTGGTTGGTAGAGGTTTTTCCAGGTTCTTCCAGGTGAGGAGGGGTTCTTCCAGGTGAGGAGGGGTTCTTCCAGGTGAAGATCATATTACAGATCTTGCTACGATGCACAGATAGCCCTCTTGGGCCGCACGCTGCAATGAGTTGACTCAAAACACGACTTCTTACAGTTCTTGCTACCATGCACAGACATCCCTGCACGCTGCAGGCACACCTCGCTGCAGGCACACCTCGCTGCAGGCACACCTTGCTGCAGGCACACCTCGCTGCGGATCTGATTGATGCATATTCTCATCTGACCCGCTCTTCCTCACCCATACCACCCTTTCCTTGCACCCCTGCCGCTCCCCCCACCCTCT